AAATAATGCTAAAATCTCAAAAAGTGAAAAATGAGAAATCCAAATTCACGCTCACGTCAAAGCTGTTAAAATACTGACTTTGTGAAAAGAAAAGGTCAACTCAAAGCAAAAGAAAGTACTTATATAACTGAGAGCATAAGAAAAAACAAAAATGGGAGCAAAAATAAAAACCAAAACCACCAGTAAACCCCGCACAGAGCACGGTGTATTAAAAAAAAAGAACAAAATTGTATATGTAAATAAAAAATATATTAATAATGATTAAAAAATATTGAAAAAAAATAATTCAGTATGAATGAATTTAAAAAGCATTGAAATTAAAAAGCATGAAAATACTATGCTTATCAAAAAAATATTTAATTTCTCTCAAAATCTATTCCTTAATCCAAATTTAGCTTTATATGTCATTTAGCGCCATTGCTTCACCTAACTACTCAATTATTATTATTTTTTTTAATACTTTTACAGCAATTACTTTTTACAAATATTTCATCAGTTTTAGTATAGATTTGCTCTTCTCTTCCACATTTACACACATTTATGCTTAATTACTCATTTATGGTATATATCTCTTATCACTTATGTTATGTTAATATTAAACTCTATGCCATTAAATTTAACTTTATTTCGTTCATTAACTGCGCGTCTTTTTGCAATAGGATGCTCTTAGCAAGTTCTGTCTAGGGTTTATTGGTGGTTGTGTCTAAGTGGTTGTACAGGAATAATGCCCAATTCGCTGTTTACTCAGTGTTTAATGGTCGTTCTGAAATTGAAAAGAAATCGAAAGAGAATATAGGCATTTGCAGAAAGGTTCATTCACAATATACATAGGTTGGCTCTAAGCTAGAATAGAATAGAATTTAGTTGATATTTGCACTATTGCTAATGATCTGTTGTATTCTCTTCACTGTCGAATGCACTCACAAAAGCTCAGTAATGCTTCTTAGAAAACAAATAGCAGATATTTTGTGAAATAAAAAACTCTGAATATCTGTCACAAAACGCCCACAAACTCAAACGAACGCTATGAATCGAAAAAAAAACTCTGGTATAATAGGCGAAAGGGAAATTCCCCATAGAAGTAGTAGAAAACATTTTATATATGTATATATATATTTTTTAAATAGTTCCCGTCAATGGTGATCTAGTGACTCTCCAACTTTTTACAGCATTTTTGTAGTAAAAATGGTACTTTGCTTCTAAGTAGACCTTAGTTATGGTGATCACCTCTTCAATCGATGAAAATCTCTATTCCCAGCGAGCAATCGTTTGAGATCTGAACACAAGAAATAGTCGCTGGTGGTCAGATCTGAAGAACACGGTGGACGTGGATCAATTCGAAGCCGAAGATCCTTCAATTCTTCCATCGTTTTCACTGACTTGTAACACGGCACATTGTCTTAGAGAAACACATTTTCTTTACTTCAAATGCTGCCGTTTTTGGCGATTTCGTCTTCCAAATATTCCAATAACGCTAATTGTCGGTGTTTACTGTCCTTTCGTTTTCAAGGTAGTCAATAAATATTATTCCATGCACAATCAAAAATACAGACGTCATAACCTCGCCAGCTCACTGTTGTGCTTTTCCACGCTTTGGACTTTGGACTGAAATAATGCAGCCATGTTTCATATCGACGCAAGAACTCAGGTTCATTATGCTCGAACTTGTCCAAACACTAAATAATGTTCTTTCGAACGATAATGAACATTCCTCATTAAGTTTGAAGTTTGTGTGTTTTTGCCTTGAAAGGGTAGGGAACCTGGAAATGGCTCAACCTATATATCAGATTTATTACTATTGCTCAAAATAACTTGGAACAAAATCTATTAGATGACTGAGTTAAATGATAGTACCGTGAAAGCAGACAGTTTCTGTATAATAGCCATTGTGGCACCACCAGTTGTAGTACTTGTATACGCGAAGTAGTCCCTTAGATTTTGAGTTATCGCTCTGAAATTTTGTACACGTCCTTTTCCCATCAAAGAGCTGGCAATTTGTCGCAATCGCCAACTGGGAAAACTGTAGGATACAGCTGACTGCCAAATTGACCAATCCAAGTCAAGTTCTTATATGGAAATCTTTTTTATCTGATAAGAAATCTGCATGAAATTTAGCAAAATTACTTCCCAAAGAAAAGATGTCATCTTTGAAGAAATTCTTCAGATCGGATCGTTATTGCATAAAACTGCCACACAAAGATGTAATCTTTGAAGAAACTCTTCAGATCGGATCATTATTGCATAAAACCGCCACACAAAGATGTAATCTTTGAAGAAACTCTTCAGATCGGATCGTTATTGCATAAAACAGCCACACAAAGATGTAATATCTGAAGAAACTCTTCAGATTAGATCATTATTGCATAAGACAGCGACACAAACTGACCGAAACAAGTTCATACATGGAAATCTTTTTTTTTTTTTTTTTGCGGAAATATCTACATGAAATTATAACTGCCGATGAGACATGTGTTGAGGAGTTTGACATGCAAAGAGGTCAACAATCATCGGAATGGAACCCGTTTTTAGCCGATCGAAGAGTTAAAACAAATTTGCTGAAGGAGCTGAAGGCTGTTGCGAGACGTGGCATAACTGTATTCGATCTGGTGCGGATTACTTTAAGGCGGCAAAACAAATATTGATGATTAATTAAATATTCTGCAGTTTATTTACAATTTCCGTGTACTATGTTGTCACAATATATATAGATTATCATTACGAAGTCTTCTAAATTAAATACGCTTCTCTCTCATTGCGTTTTTAAGATCCCCAACAGCGGGTACCCGCCATCACTTAACCCACACCATTCATATTATAATTACTCTCAAATTCTCAGGCACTCTCTTAAAGTAATTAACTTGCCGTTATGAACCCAATTTCTATCGAAATATAAGCTCTTAATTAATTAAGCGCCATATCAAAAGCACTAAATGCTTTAACGACTAAAGCGGGCTATGAATTAAGAAGTCAAAAGTGATGGCTTTGACATTGAATGCTGACAGCAATGACAAAGTGCCAATTTAACAGCTTTAGAGTGTGAGAGTGGGTTTATGTGAGAGCGGATTTTCGGGATACTATTAATAATGAAATGCGAAACCTTTGTAGTTGTTGCATATATTACTTGTACATAATAATGTGATACATATATACAATGCACGTATATCAGTGTAACAAGTTAACTGGCAATAAATTTGCTGATAACTGTCAATATGTCATAAATATGACAACAAAAAAAAAAAAAAAAAAAAAAAAAAAAAAAAAAAAAAAAAAAAAAAAAAAAAAAAAAAAAAAAAAAAAAAGCAAACAATTTACAATAATAAAATAAAGGCGCTAAAACTAGTTTAGAGAGAGAAGAAGAGGATGCAGATAGCAACTTTTTCGAAAGGGTTTATGCATAGTAATGCCTACTTGCAAGAAATGCGAGAGAAAGAAAAATTGAAAGGATTTGACAAAGGGCGCACATGATTCGCAGAATATATGAATGCTTGTGTAATGAAATAGTAAAAAAATGTATTAAATAAAACGGAAATTTGGTAGTTGCAAAAAGAATATAAATAAAAACTTCATAGTAGACGAAAACGGCAGCGAGAGAGTAAGAGTGAGATGTGGAGTTTTTGAAGCCCAATTTTCGGTTGCGTTTTTATGGTCAAGTCAAGAAAGGTCGACATTGAAGAAGAGTAATGTTTTTCACGATGGTCAGAAGGTCAGAATATTAACAAATCAGTGCTAAATAACTGGGTGAGAGAAAGTAGTAACGAAAACTACTTCTATAACATCATTACTGTCAATAAACGACAACGAGGCAAGGAGCGGAAATAGGGCGCCTGTCGATATGGGTTTGGGTAGGAAACACATGTAATAGGCTCATAAAACAAACACCAAAAGAAGCTGAAGCTACAAAATGCATGTTTAGCATGCAAACAAGCAGTTGAGAGCGCTAGTGGTTGGAGTAGACATAAGTTGCCGTTAAGTCGCATACACAAATAGGCTAACACGCACATACACACTCATAGCTTAAGCCTTTATATTACGTTTTAACAGGCATTGGTTGGCGTTTAAAGAAGCCATAAACGGGCATATTGATATTTGAGCAAAGTTATGAGCGCATTTTGACTTTGAACTACTAACCTTGGCGCGATTGGATGACAGGGCTGTAGCTGTAAAGCATGTAATGGCCACAAAGAAATGTCTCTCTACCAAATTAGTAAGAAATATATTTGTTAAAAGCTATATAGTTGTATCTATACGAACTCAAGACAATTTGTGGCTACTTAATGAGCTTTCAACTGTCATTAAAATAATATAATGGCGCTGTGGTATGGGTCATAAAGTTCGACAATCACATGCGCCAGGGCAATTTGCTTACAAAACCCTAACTAAGCTATGGGTCTTTATTAACACGGCGACAGTGTCTGCGCCCGCCGTCTTATGCCACACATTTACCCGACTTGCCAAACCGTTTTGCCACACTTTTCCACTAGTTTATTGCATTTTGACCGTTATTTATAGTTGCTTCTGCTTGCTGCAATTTCATTATTTTTTTTCAGATTTTTTTGGCCGCACCCAAAGTCCATTAAATCTCGTTTTGTGTAAAATCTTTACCATTTCGTCCATTTAATATTTTTATTTGCATAGTCATGCCAGTGAAGCGAATCAAATTTTCTATTCAATCTCTGCTGCACCCTCAAGTGACACATTGGCAACAATGGCAACCCAGCAGCAGCGGTGGCAGCGACGTCGTAGCCTTAACAGCGCTAACTGTAAATATTAAAGTTGTAGATTCGGCATTTAGATTATTAGATTCGTGGCGAGCGTCTGCTAGTTGACCGCATTTTATTATGCCCATTCGCCGAGAAGTATGCAAGGCGTCGCACCTCGTTGACCTTAACATCATTTTGGGGTTACAAACAGCCTTACGAATTTTCATATATATATATGGACGTAGATACGATTGTAAATTTTTTAAAAGTGCCGCTATAAATTGCATGACAATCTGAAAAGTAATTTCGCTAATGGAAAAATCAGCGTATGCTAATGGTTGGGCGTATACTATATAATCCTATACAAGTCAGTTTGTATGTAATTTTACTGCTGCGCTTTGAAGCGACAACAACGTGAAAGAGTTAAAAAATCAGTAGACCAGTTGGCTTTCGTTTAATCAGCTAATCAGTTAATGGTTGAGCAAAAAAGACAAAAACTTTGATTTCTTCTAGTATATGAGTATTATACAATATATGTTCGGTAGTTAATTAAATTAGTTAGTATGCTTGTCTAACGCGGCAAGACAAGTTGCGTCTGTAAAAAAAAAAAAACAAAAATAAAAAAATATAAAAAAAAAAACCAGCGCATAGTTCACTCAACAAATTTCAGCTCAACTCGAGCTGGCTTAATTAGACTTAAGATGCCTACATCCATTGCATGTATTGCACAAAAACCGAGATCGAGTTTGGATGGAGCAATTTAAGGCAAACCCAGCAGACAAATTTCTCCGGGCCCTGTTCGACTCAATGACACCCCGAAACAGCAGGAAGCGAGCCAATAATGACAAATCCTAAACCAAGCTGAACGATCCAAACATGGTAGATTGCCGAAATTACATAACTTCGCCGAATCAAATTCCAGTCAATACCGGTAATGTAGAATCGGTTTTTAAGGGAATTGGTCATTTCATCATCTCAAAAACCTCATAGCGATTATTAAACAGCTTAACCGGAATATTCAAGCAAATCATCATAAAAAATCGGCCCTTTTCAAAGAAGCAAA